GAAGTGATCAATAAAAATCATAAATATTTATGAAATTTTATTCCCTCAAATTTTCTCCACAAGGTGGTAGAAAAACATCACAAAGTTCTACTGAAAAATAATACTTCTTTATATCAAACATTGAGCCTAGAAACCCAGATATATAGGTTTTTTTTTGGCGGGGGGGTTAGTAAAAATACACCCTATGTTGGGGTGGACTCTCTAGTATTCTAATAAGTGGGTATATTTTGGATAGGGGAGGATTAAGATTTCCTTTTTTAAAGATAAGATAGGGTATATACTGTTTCCAATGAGACAAGACTATGTCTATTAACTTAATAAAGTTAAACAAGCTCACAAAAATCAATCCATTGGACATAGGTATGGAGGCTAAAATTTTCCTTAGATCCTTTGCACAGCCTGAGTTTTTTCAGTTAGCTATACAGTGTGAGGGACCATTAACAGAACCCAATCAAAGACTGGTTAATATTTTAAAAATTAGTATAGTTGGCTTCAATGTATAGAGATAGGAGAAGAAAGCTTTCCAAGGATCCATCATGCTGTTACCAAATTCATTTAATTCATAGAAGTTACTTTGTCACAGAATCTGCATTCATTACCAGACCACATGGCCGTACTTTATTCTTTTTAAAATGTTTATCGTGACTAAGTTTTTTTAAAGCAATGGGAAATATGTAACATGCTTTAAATTTCATGAATACCTAGGTTTACTACTGCTTTGTTTCTTGTGGGTATTTCATTAATTCGGATAAGGTTTTTTGATTTATTCATTCTCTGTTAATTCAAGATTTGAGTTTTTGGTCTGTTTTTTTTTTTTCACATTTTTGTCAGATATTTTTGACATCCCGATAATAACCAACAAGGTGGGACCCAAAATACTAGGATTTTTAAACTATTATTTGCAATTCCTTGATAAATAGTGAAAGAAGAAGCATTAGTGTTTTAAGATACCCAAGGCAAAATTTTAAAGGATGACTAACAAGTAGCAGGTCTGTTTTAGAATTTGAAAACCTTTCAGAAATCCTTTTCCACCTTATTGGAGGCAGGTTCTGTGCTTACTATGCCAAGAGTTAAAATAGGAAGAAAATAATAACCTTCTGTGGAAAAATCAGGATATTCATTTCAATGATAATAATAAAGCAAAGAGGGGAGCTTACTATTTTATCTATAGGGCGTTAGTGACATCACATTCTGTTCTTAAATTGGTGTGTGGAGAAATTTCCTATTTAACTTAAAACTGTCTCTAAAAAGATATTCTACAGGAAAATAGCATCCCATTTCTCTGTGGCCTCAGATCTATTGCTAATCCTGGCATTCATATTCTACAAAATGGTTAGAATCCTCATGGGGAATTTCGAATAAGGAAAAGTTAAAACACCTGTAAAAACAAGGTCCCAAGTGAAAATATGATTTCCATGTCTTAGGAGGGGAAATGTAAGTGGTTACGCAATCTTATCCAGTCATGCAAAAGAACTGGAGCCACAGTGGGAGAGGGGAGGACAGAGAGAGATTTCTTATGGTCTAGGCAGCTTTAGTCATCATCTTTAAATCTGATGGAGATGAGAAATGCCAGGAACATCAGAATTTCTTTATAAGTTTATAATGTTAAAGCTCTTCTCAGAAGAGCTTTACTTAATCTGTTTCTTCCAAAGTTGTTTGGTTAAGATTAATTGCCTAAAAACATGAAAATGGGGAGATGAAATTTAAGTTTTTTAGAAGTTTTACTTTGAAAAACTCTCAGAGAAGCAATACAATGAAGTCTTTATATTAAGAAAATTGTAACCAAATTCCAGGAGAAAAAATACAGCTACCGACTTGACTTGACCAAGGATTCTTTCTTATTTTCCTTTCTTTCTTAATTCCTGTTAATAGCAGGTAGAGTCTAGATACATAAATTAGTTGTGTTAAACCGATAGAATTAGGGAAGATGTTTCTGATGTGATAGTATTTGAACAGAGACTTGAAGGAGGTAAGGTAATAGCCATGCAGGTAAATATTTGGTAGAAGAGAATTTCAGGCAGAGGGAACAGCAAGTTCCCTGAAGCAGAAGAGTTTTTTGAGAAAGGGATGCCAAGGCAACTGAAGGAAAGTAGATAAGAAAAAGTGGTCAGAAAAGTCAGAGGTTAGGTGGTGGGGGAATGAGCACTTTGGAATCGGGGCAGGTGCAGACAATGTAGGACTTGTCTGCTATTGTTAAGGACATTGACTTCCGTGAGTGAGATAGGATCTCTCTGGTAACTTATATGGGGGTTGGCATGAAAATGTAACAGTTACGGTCTTCAAAATGTCTTCTTCAAATTTCATTATTTTTAATGCATGTACCAAGTATATTTGATTAACCATTCATGGAAGCTCAACAATGCCATCTAGTTACAAAGAGAGTACTGTTTTTGTTCCTTTTTTCCCCCTAAATTTTGATCCATTGTTTTAAGAATGAGGATAAGAATTGCCTTACATTCAACCACATAATCAATGAGCCAAGAGCTTTATTCGTACTAAGTCATACACTGAATTTTATATTCATCAAATGTTTCCCACACATGGTAATTATTGTGTTTGGAAATTA